GCTGCAGGTGATGGAGGTCTTGCCAAGCGACACATACCGCGTCGCCGAACTCGACACGGACGGGCACGAGATTTACGCGACAACAGCTCACGTTTCGCAACTTAAGTCATGGTCGGTTCTGAGAGCTGGGAACGATGATCCAGACGAAGACGGTAGTGAAACGGAGGATGGAGAAGAAGACCAACTTAGAGAAAACAACCACGTAGAAGGAAGAGCCGAGCCAACTGGGACCACTCAATCAAGCCGTCCCGATCCAGGTCAAAAACGTGGCACCAGAGCCAGACGGGCTCCCAAGTATCTCGACGATTTCACCAGATGACGATGTAGCTGGCCCGAGGACGGTCCAGCGGTCAGGACGGTCGGTTGTTAGCTCCCTCCAGTGGCAACACTGGAGAGTGCCGACACACGACTCGACCGCGCTAAACATAAAACAGTTACACGGGACCCACGGTGCGCGACGCATGCCACCGACGTACGGTCGCCGACGACTGCCGATAATTCATGTTATACTTATGTTAACCTATACGTCTCTATCTTTTAAAATAATAAAGTGCTAAGTGTATGTAATAACCACTGTTGTTAATTAATCCTGACCATAGCTTTCACACATTATCTTCAGAACTAAAATTGTGGAAAAGAAAATGGAATGCTTTCAAAAATGTAGATCGTACACATACATCTGTAGAATTATTAAATGATAATGGGCCAATATGCGATCTACAAATGTGTAATATCTTATAAAAGATAAAAAGCCAATTTTTTAAAAAATCCAACTCTACAAATGTGTAATATCTTATAAAAGATAAAAAGCCAATTTTTTAAAAAATCCAACTCTACAAATGTGTAATATCTTATAAAAGATAAAAAGCCAATTTTTTAAAAAATCCAACTCTACAAATGTGTAATATCTTATAAAGATATCATAATACTTTAGTTTACTGGAATAGACAACTTTACTTTATTTGGTATTAATTAAATATATAAGAGTCTGGAGCTCACACATGGTTGTCTGCAGCTCTTGTTACAACATTTGAACATTCTACAATCTACATTATAATTATTAGGTTATGTTATCATATACATTATCATATGACGTTATCACAGTCCTTATCCCTAGTTATATCAATACGTCATAATAAATAACAGTTAATAGTTAATACATAATTAAATCTTTTACATTATACAAAATCAACAAAATCATCTGTACTAATAAACATCATATAACAAATATAAAACTTAAATAATTATGTAATAAAATTTTATATGTTCAACCTATCTGGTTTTTTCTCTTTCTCTTAGATCTTTTTGGTAAAGGAACTTCTACTTCCTTTTCTAAACTTTGATTTATTTCATATTTTTTTTTTATCAATAGCTTCTTCTTTTACCTCATTAATTTTCTTTTCCTCCAGTTTTGTTTGTTCTTCTTCTTTCTCATTTTCTTCTGTTTCAAAACTCTTTTCATTTATCTTACCTACTTCTATTATTTGGTCAATGTGCCTTCTCCATATCACATTTCCTTTTTCTAATCTAACTAAATATATTCTATCACCTAACACTTCTTCGACTGTTCCTTTCTTCCACTCTTTTTTATTAGAGTTGGAATAATCCCAGCATAAACTATGTCTCCTTCTTTAAAATATACTTTTCTAAATTTTTTTACATACTTATTTTTTTATAGGAATATATAATTGATCTAACCTAGTTTTAATTTTCCTTCCAAACATTCTATAACTTGGTGACTCACCAGTTATCCAGTGTGGTGTATTCCTATATGTCATTAGATATCTTTGAATTAATGTATTTAAAGAAGCATTTTTATTTATTTTATCCTTAACTGCCTTTAATATACAATTTTTTAAAGATTTAACAGCATTTTCTGCCGATCCATTTGTAGCCGGATGGCCCGGATGATAAGGAGGGGACGTCACAAACCTAATCATATTATTTTTACAAAATTGTATAAACTCCTTTGATCTAAATTGCGGTCCATTATCTGACACAATTTTGTTCGGTAATCCAAACCTAGCAAATATTTCTCTTAACTTTTCAATAACCGAACCACTGTTCAATATTTTCATTTCAGCTACTTCTGGCCATTTTGTAAATATATCTGTCATGATCAAATAGTTTTTACCTTGTAAATATAGAAAATCTATGTGTATTCTATCCATTAGACAACTCGCTTCCTTCCACTTTTTTGGTTCAGCTAAAATTGGTTCTGATCTACTTTGTAAACAAGCATCACAAATTTGTACCCACTTTTCTATATCTTTGTCTAATCCAGGCCACCACGTGTATGATCTACACAATGTTTTCATTTTAGACATACCCATATGTGTTGAATGTACTTCTTTCAATAAATCCTTCCTTAGAACTTTAGGAATTAATATTCTATACCTCCACATTAATATATCTTTATCTACACAAATTTCTTCCTTTCTAATTACATAAGGTTTCAGTTCCTCGCTTACTTTTATCGGCTAACCATCAAAATTTAATAACTAAACTAAACTCTTTATCTTTTTTAGTTTCTACTCTAAGTATCTCATAATCAATAGGCATAGTATTTTCCATAAAATCAACATAATCCACTTCTTTTGTTTGAATTAATACATCATCTTTATCAGGTAATCTAGAAAGTCCATCTGCCACTTTATTATCATTACCTTTAATATGTACCACTTGATAATCAAACTCAGATAAATATAACGCCCATCTTTGAATTCTCCCAGGGGCCATAACAGGAATACCTTTCTTCTCCCCATATAACGCTAACAAAGGTTTATGGTCAGTCTCCATAAAAAATTTTCTACCCAAAAGATACTGAGAAAATTTCTTTACCCCCTAGAAAACCGCTAAAGCCTCTTTTTGTATTACTGAGTATTTTCTTTCAGCCACGATTAGGATTCTTGATGCATACCCCACTGGTCGCTTTTCTCCATTTTCAAAAATATGCATTAACACTGCTCCTATACCATACTCCGACGTATCGCAAGACAATACAACATTTAAATCAGGATTGTAATGAACCAATAATGATTCTGATGCCATTGCTTGCTTTGTCTTATTAAATGCCTTTCTACATTCCTTTGTCCAAACAAATGTTACCTCTTTTTTTAACAAATTGTAAATAGGACCTAGTAAGGTTGATAAATTTGGTATAAACTTAGCATAGTAGTTCACCATCCCTGTAAAGGCTTTTACTTCTGTGACACTCTTAGGCTCTACTGCATTAAGCATAGCTTTAACTTTATTTTTATCTCTTTCAATACCTTCTGATCCAATTACATGTCCTAGGTAATTTATTTTTGGTTGAAAAAAACTAAATTTTTTTTTATTTAACCTAAACCCGGCCTTTTGTAAACTTTTAAACACTTCCCTGAGATTATCTAAGTGTTCCTGTTCAGTACTACCAGTTACAATAATGTCATCTAAAAAGTTTTTAACACCCTTTGTTCCTAACAGCACTTTTTCAATAACACTCTGAAACTTTGAAAAAGCTGGTTTGATACCGAAAAGTAATCTTTTTACTATATAAATGCCTTTACTTGTACTCCAAGCTAATAGTATTTGTGTTTTTTCACATAACTCTAACTGGTTATAAGAATTCAAAAAATCTAATTTAGAGAATGTTTTACCTCCTTGTAACGCCACAAAAACATCTTCTACTCTTGGTAATGGATGATTAATATCTAATAAATATTTATTGACCGTAGTCTTATAATCTGCACATAATCTAATAGATCCATCTGGTTTAATCACAGGTACAAGTGGAGTACCCCATTCATATTTGTGTCCTAATTTATATATTCATTTAAAGGATACTTCCCACGACTTATCATTTATTCATCAAAGTTATTCTTTGATAAATTCTGTCCTGAATAGGACATTCCCGGGTCCCGGGAATTATCATCTTGATTTTTACGCCGGCCCAACTTAACAAATAGAAGGCAAATGTGCCCTGAGGACTTAGAGGCGTAGTGCCAAACAGATTAAGAGAAGTGAAATGAAGTTAGAGAGTAACAATTGAATACAAGCCAACTGGCAGAAGACTCGGAAGCAGACCCAAGAAACGATGAACGGATGCAGTGAACAAGATCTAGAGAGGCTAGAAGTACTTTTTATATTCTAAAAATTTAAAATCTAACAAGTATTAACATAACCTATGACCCTAAGTCTATGAATAATATTTTTATAACCACCCATAATTTCTATAAGTAATAGATATAATTAAATATTCAAAATTATTCCCGCGCTTTTTCAACGCTCGATCCTTATAACAAGCTACATCCACTTGTACGCGTTATCATATCTAATGTTCCATCTATTTCTAAATATAACTATATAAGTCTATGCACAAGATTTTCAAGAAGAAGAATTCGATACGTATCGACTGAGACTAGTTACGTATCGACTCTTATCGAAATCCAAGGCCGATACAGGCTGGTACATATCGCTGGTATATTGAACATTTGAACGTATAACTTCTTGAACACTCGAAATTCAATCGATACATCAAAATCCTTCTTTGAAAATCTTGCTAGCATATACACTGTTCCTAAAGAAATATTAAACACATTTGCAAATGTTGATAAAAAATTATGTTTGAAGTTTGACACTTTAGAATGTGATATAAACAAATATAGGTACTATAATAAAAAGTGGGAAAATGGGTATCACTCTGCTATATAGTAGAAATGGAGAGTAGGTCAGTATAATTTATGTGTTAAATTTGAATGCAATGACAGGTATCATTATATATGAAAAACGATTCTGGACGAAGACGATTTGTCAGTCTAGAATAATATATACTACCAATATTTTAATTATAATATATTTTTATACGCTCACTAAATGTTTTCTGTATTAACTGGAGTTTTTTTTTTACAGTTATTTAAAGAAAAAGTTATAGAGAACCTTGTGTTGGGTTTTTTAACTAAGTTATAGATCACAAAAATTTTATAAATGTTCAACTCCGTAACTCCATTCAAATTTTCGCGATTTTGACATATTTCTAAACATTTGAACTTTAAATGCTTATAAACGAAAATTGTGACTAACGATTTTTAATTTTTTTTTTTTTTTACTATGGTTTGTATAACTCATAATAAACCTCCTATTAAATATTAAGGATTTTTAGTTCTCCACATTTTTAATAGGCATTTCAAAAAAACTTAGAAAAATCGAAAATTTCAACTCTATAAATAGCTTACAAAAGTCAAAATATTTTGAAAATTTAACCGTAAATAGATATAACGCTAATACAGTGGTCGCCGCTTATTGGACTCGTTCGCCTATTAGACTCAATACGGCTGGTCTCGATTCGCACATAACTAACACACGGCAAAGTCTATTCGACTCACACACCGGTTCATAGGGTCATTTGAAAATTTGATAAATAAAGAAAATATGTACATCGGTACATTGAACAAACGTGTTATAAATAAGTCAGTACCTTTTATTGCGGAGATAAAATAAATTACTTTATCATGATAAACCAAGMAGTCGTTAATGTCAATTAGTACGACAGGTAGTGTATGAATAGACGTCGTCGTGTTCGGTGTGTTGTCTGCGTTTATATTCTGTGTAAAAATTTTTATTTTTCATGTTACAATGAACAAACGACGTGATTTGAGTGTGGAAGAAAAATTAGATGTTCTTAAAAAATATCACAAGCTTCAAAATTGAGCCAGCAACAAGCAGCATGTAAGTTAAACGCATCTCAAAGTTTACTAGGTAGGATGCTGAAAAATCGACAGGAAATTGAAAATGCATCATTAGAAAGTATGAATTCAAACCGTAAAAGAAAAACGGTCGGTAAAGAAGAAGAAGTCGAAGAAGCTTTGAAACAATGGTTCACAAATGTAAGAGAAAAAGATGCCCGAATTACAGGACCACTGTTGCGCCAAAAAGTCGAAGATCTCGCGAAAAAAATGGGTAAAGATGATTTTGTGGCAACAGAAGGTTGGTTTCACCGATGGAAGAAACGCGAAAACATTTCATTCGTTAAGCCACATGGAGAACAGGGAGAAGCAGACCATTTATCATTGCACCGTCGTGGATTAATTCAGAATGGCCATCTCTTATCGTCAAATATCCTCCGTCTTGTGTGTTCAATACGGATGAAACTGAACCATATTTCAGGGCATTACCTGAGCACACTTGCACGCTTAAAAAATCGGGTAAGTCGTGGATGTCGCTATGCTGTACAGTATGTTACTGTAATGGATGGGATTAAATTTGAATGCAATGA